CTGGATTTTTTATCAATTGCTGGAGACGCTTTTGTAAGATGATCGAGTTCTGATAACTTCATTAGCTCTTTTACCATGCCTTTCTCATACTCGCTATATGTGCTATTAGATATTTGCTCTTGTTTGCATTCCATTATAGAGAAGTATTCTGTAATCAAATATTATTATACAAGAAAAAAAAATATATAATAATACTCCTGAGCATTTTGTCGCTCAACCACGCTATGTCTCTTCTTTTACTAATAGCTTATTGGGAAGAGCTAGCTATGTGAGATGTACATTCATTTTGATATTTCTCTGGGAGCTTTGCCATTATAGCTCTTTTTTCAGCCACTTTATGAGGGATACTATCTTTGATCATATTCTTATAAATCATATTATGCTAATGCCCATAAGGTAATTCAGATACCCCATCTGTTAGGTATCAACGCTTAGTATTTAAGAGACCGAGAGCCATTTTCTCAGACTCAACTATAGATAGTACGTGATCTTTTGATCAGATGCCTACATTTTTAGCGTAGAATACTTCTTTACCAAAGAGACAATCTCGATATACTTGGGTCATAGGATCAAATACTTTGGATTCGTCTACTGGATCATCAAACAATGAACCAGCTAATTTTGACATATATGTATTTATAGCCATTTCATTCATACCATCTTACTAACCCCTTTATGTCTTAAATTTGTGATCTTGTCTGCTAAGACATAATGGTAAGACTTGGATCGGATTTGAAATGATTCTGTGATCACATTACCTGAGGTCTCATCCTTATATTTGCCAACAGTTTGATCTTCATTAAGATTAAAGAGATCTGGTCATTCATTCATATTTTTATAGATATCTTCAGTCTTAGTTTTGAAGATGTAAGAGTCTGTATCCATATAGCCAAGTTCAACATCATCCCATATTTTTCCTTCAAATAACCATACCAGAATTTATACATGTGAAGCTTGCTAAGTCCTAAAATAGATGCTCTGACTATAATACGTACTCCTATTAATATAGATCCAAGTGGTCTGCCATACTTGAAAGATGGCATGCGGACCTTATTCAAGAAAGTTTTTTCATCTTACTCATTATTATTCTTCATAATCTTGATATCCTGATACTTGCGAACATTTTCCATAATTTTACCATATACTGATACATTCATAAGTTTGAAAAAGTCATTCAGAAATGTATTTTCAGCTTTTTTAGCCTCATTACATTTCTCAGTATTAAAAGATATATATAGTTAAAGCCAGTTAGTCTGGTTAAAGAAGAGCTCTGAAACTTCATCTACAACCATAACTAATTCCATATAGTATTGAAGCTCTAGATAATGAATGACATAGTTCTTTCGTGATCCAAGATAGGGAATTAATTTTTCTGTGGCAGAGAAGCGTCTACCATCTAATTGTTTTACAAGTTTAACATTATAAGAACATAACCAATCCTTTTCTACAATGACATTTTCCACAGCTAGAGGCAAGTCTTTTAAATATTTATGAGTCTTTAAAGGGAAATGGAAATTAACTTTTAAGAAATACCTTCGTTTAGCATCAGATCGTGTATTAAGAATCTTTTCAAGATATTTCTTCTGTATAGCTGGATTTTTTAGTAAATATTTCTGACTAGCTTCCCATTGATAATTTCTGATAGGCAAATATTGGCTTATAGAATGAACATAAAGATTTGTTATGTTTACATATAAAATATATGTAGTTGGTTGGGATGGGTCATAGGCTTCTCCTATCTTAGGATTATTGTCCTTAAAATATCGTTGATAGGCTATAGATATACCACCACGTTTAGCTTTTTTGATAAAATCATGCATAGCCATATCTGTGAAAAGTTCAATCCTAATTCCTGACATCTTAAGCATTCCATCCTAGGATAGTGATGAGGCAGAAACATATTGACTGGGATCAGGTTCATAATATTTTATAGACATTTTTGAAACTCTATCCAAACATCTGCTAGACTAAGTATGTCAGTTTTAAGATAGAGATCATGGTATTCACTTAGATTTTTATATTCGAATTCCTTCTATACTTTCTGAGCGTGTTTGTAATCATCTTGTGAGATCTTACCTTTAAGAGTACTATAAAATTCATGAATGGGAGGAAGTTCTGTCTCCTGAAACCTATCATAAGAATCGATATAGTCATAGAGATAAACTCCTTTGTGATATACTAATGCTAATTGCTTCTCTGTATAACCTAATTTTTGAAATATTGGCTTATTATTGGATGGTTATCACTCAAATTATTTGTAAAACTGGCCAAGCTACTATTCATAAACTGCATGCTATCTATATATTTGAGTTGACCTACCTTCATAGACTTATATTACTCAAATGTTTCAGCTAGAACTTGGATATGAAGAATATTAGCTGATCACCTAACAGACTCACAAAGCAAGTGAAAGTCATAGCCTTGAAAGTAGTGGAATATAACTGGAATTGGAGTCTTCCAATCCTATATTTGGAGTTTAAGATTACAATCCCTATGGGCTCATCCACAAAACTTACCTGTAATATGATAATTATTTCAGACCTTATTGGCTTTAGCTTTTTGCTAGCAATTGCTTTAGTCACATTATTAATGGTTGTTTCGATGCCATTATATTCAGCTAAACCTTTTTAAACTTTTCTAGCTTCTCTTTAAGATAGGTTATTTTGTTCTCTAGGTGCTCAATTTCATATATATATATATCAAACTTACATTTATAAATCCAATAGTTAATAGCATTAGCAAATCTTTTCTTGTCTTCTTCGGTCTCAATTCGCTCATATTTGATGGCTAGAATCTCATTGATTTTGACCAGCTCTTGATCGATTCTTTGAACGAATTCTTGTGTGATATTTTCTTCCCTATATAAGAATGGACAAGACATCTCCAGTATAGATCCAATGAACCAAATAGCAGAAACTATTGGCCTTCTGCTCAGTGAGTTTAATCATACTTCTACCATATGTCTCATTACATTTCTTATTATTAGCCTCAAAGTTAGCTATAATAATACATGGAGCATTGATCATTCGACCATAGTTTTTGAACTTCTCGTAATCATTGACCCTTTTCACTAGCATTACGACTCTTTGAGGAGCATTTTCATGTATTCCTGGACACCATTCTAAATGATGTTCTAGAGACTTTTCAGAAGGCTAGCTTATAATGCATCCATCACATAAATATTTCTTTTCTTTATGCGCATTATCACTATATATTAATTTGCTAGGATTTTTGATCCAGAGAAAATAGTTCTTTTGACTATACTTATCTATTTAATTATCTTTAGTAATATTTGTAAGGGCCAATAGACGAATTTTATGTTGCCTTTTAAATTTTTTACTAGCTATTACAGGTTTTAGTGTAGCTGTTTCTTCTTTTCATTTCCAGACATTGATAGAGATATCTGGATTCATCTCCTCAATCTTATTAAATATACGTGAACAGATGGGAGTGGGCATTAGGATTCCATTTAGCTTGACTACATCTAAATATGGTTTATATTTAGTAGCTCGAAAGATTCTTTCAAGATGATCTGTATACCCATCCTGGTCTGTAAGAATGCACCTTGAAGACACTTTTCAGAAGGTCTATTTGTTTCTGGATCTATAAAAACATGATTATTAGGATTGATAGTACATTTTCTATTGGCTAGCTTCTTTGGAGTAGGAATATAAGATCCTTCTGTGGCTCGACGGCATTTATATATCTTAATAGATATTTCAAGAATTCGCTCAAGAACATATTCAGATCCTTTTTTAATGTATTCTCAATTTGCTTATCTATTTCTCCAGCTGATTTAGTTATATGCTCATCTATATCATTTGTTAAAAGCAAATATTGTATCTTCCCTCTTTCATGATTGTATACAAATGATATATGACTTGTGTCATCTAGATCTCTTTTAGTAATCGAATACAAACACAATGCTACTATAACTGATTTTATTTGGTCTTTTTTACGAAACTCTGTTTGAAAAACTTTTGTTATTTTCGTATGAATTAGTCCTATAAGTTAAGGCATGTATAGAATTTCTTAATATTGTATAAGATCAGCTATTGGTTAAATAAAAGCATATTTAGGATTATCGTCAGGATAGGGAACTTTGCCTACCTATTTGCTCATTAAAGATCGATTTTTATGTGATCTTTCTAGATCCCTTCCAACTGAACATTCTTTAAAGTAAATATCCTCTACTCGATTAAAAGCTTCAAGAGTTGGGGTTTCTTCTTCGTATGTCTGAGTTATTGGATCAGGATCAGCTTCAGGATCCTCTTTTGATTGTAAAACTTTGGTTTTCTTTTGTTTTTTACAAGAGGATTTTTCCATCAAATTAAACCATTCAGTATCTGTTTTAGGAAGCTTTTTATTTGTAATATTTGGATTATTTTTTATCTCTGGTTTCGTTAACCAGTTAGCCAAAGGCTTTATAGACAAAAAAGTAGTTTTCTTTTAACTAGAAGTCTCAGGAGTTGAAGCTTGTATCTCTTGAATAGTAATTTCAGAATCTGGTTCGCATTGATTTTATTATTTTTATAATGTTGACGAAGTTTAGCAGGTCTTGTAAATTTATAATTGCAATCCCTACAAGTAGAATTTTTCTTATCACTTCTAGGCATAATATTAATAAGTCTTACCTGTTTAATATTGTGTAAACTTTTGTTTAAATAAAAATAATTACCTTTTTGAATATATTTGCCATTCACTTTTCTATATTACAGATAATTTTGTTTAATTAAATTTTTTCATCCCTATTGTAAATGATGGCATCTTATACTTGTGACTATCTTCATAATTCTGGTAAGACTTGTGGTAACGCTTGTACTCAATTTGAAAGATGTTGGCAACATTGGAAGACTAGAAAGTGCTATTCTTGTACTGACTGTAGCAAACCTACTGCTACAGCTTGTGGTCAGTATGCTAAACATATTAGAGGATATTATGTAATGTAATATTATAATAAATTGCAGGATAAGTCTCAGAGATTAGACTTGATAAAAGGTACGACTTAAAATATGGTATGCATTTTAGGTTTTTTTCAGCTTTTCATTCTGATTTTTTCCGCATTTAAAAGTGAGACTTGAGGTGAGACTTAGAATATGATATGCATTTTAGGCTTCTTTCAGCTTTTTATTCTGATTTTTTTCCACACTTAGAGGTGTAACTTAGCGTATATATATATTAAAGATACGATTTAGAGGTGAGACTTAAAATATGGTATGTATTTTAAGCTTGCATAGTCAGGCCCAGCTCAAATCACGTCACTTTGTTCCTTGATTTTTGATGGCCCCTTCTGAGGCAAACAGAATAGTAAATTTTTTTTGATATATTATTTGGGATTAAAATCAGGCTAGAATGGTTATATCAAACAG